ATTATCAGTCGATCATTATACACCATTCGATAGCCCTTTTCAAGAGCTACATGTCTGACGGTTCAAATTTGAAAAAGCTCATTTTCGACTTTTTGGCCAAATGTCCGCTTGAATGCCCACTGTGAAATGAATGTTAAGCAAACGTTTTAGGTTACTTCTATATTTGAAAACGATTTGATTCCTCTGGCAGGTGACAGCATTAAATGTACATATTGTCAAATGTCGAAAATCGAGGTAAGGTTTGGGAAATTCAAAACTTCAGCGTTTAGTATTTTTTCGATTTTTATAGATGGTTGGATAGAGCTCATCGAACTGAACAAGAATATGTGTGTTTCACGTTTCAAGTAAAAATTATACTGTTGAAAATTTCAAAAACCTGAAAGATTATAAACTTGAAAAAACGGTCTAAATTTTAGAAACAAACGTACGGTTTTCATCCAGTAAGTTCTGGAGCTTTGAAGGCTTTTTATTCTTATTCTACGTTGAAAACTGAATCTAGAAATGTAGTTTGGGATCATTGACATATTATATGAATAGTAGAAAGTAGAAAAAAATTGATGTTTGGACCTATAGCTTAAAGCTCTCATGGTCACCTGCCAAAGGAATCAAATCGTTTTCAAATATAGAAATAACCTAAAACGTTTGCTTAACATTCATTTGTAAGACAGGTTATATCCGATACAAATGCATTTCGTGACATAGACTTCATAAAAGCCTTGTATGTTTTGTGAAAGTGATTCAAATCATTTCAGATTTAATGTCAAATATTGATATTCAGGATATAGGTGAGGAAGAAGCTGGTAATAACACTGGGAATGGTGTTAACGGTGTAAAAGAATATTTGCAGTTGACAGGATAGTAACTGAAGCAGAATAAACATTCCAATTAAAACCTAAATAGACCCATCGCTGCATCTGATACGTCAATTAGCTGAAAAAGCTAATGTCGATCGACAAAGTTTGCTAATGCAGCAATTCTGGATTAAAGGAATCTTACTCTTAGCGTGTCAGTACGACTGCTCGGTTCACTTTGAAACTTTCCACAGAAGTCTCATGTTTTGATTTCTGGCACTGTCGATGGTGGTTCGGTAATCGCAGAAGCAACAAAAGCACGAGATAATCTAGTGATTTTCACAGAGGTACTGTTCCTTGGAAAATACCCAAGGTCAGTTTCTTGCTGTTGTTGAGGGTTACTATGATTTCGATAAACGATAGTTGGCTGTTCTTGTTTCGAAAGAGATTTAGCACGCTTTAGTTTTGTAACGTTAACAGCTGTGCTCTTTCGCTGATAAGATGAGATGCCGTCATTAGCGTTTGGTGTTGTCGGGCATTCAGAAATTTTCGGGTTCTCGAGAGCAGTAAATGGACATTTAATTTTTGTGACGATAACTTCAGTGCCATTTTTCGATACCACTTCATCATTCAAGAGAATCGTATCACTACACTTTCTAGAAAGGATTTCTGCTGATTTCGAAGCATGAATAATATTAGTACTGGGGATTAAAGATTTTATTCTTGGTAGCTTCATGACACTGACGATACTGGTTCGTCTATTTCTACTTGCAGCTGCTAGTCTTTGCGAAGAATCATTACCTTGCAATCCAAGAAGCGTCAGCCGTTTGGGAGCGCTTTCGTTTTCTTTGCCGCTTTTGTTTATACTGATCGCGCTGACTCTAGATGTTACAAGATTAAGGTTAAATTGACTACTCAAAGTTGCTACACTTGTTTTCCGACTGCTATTACATATACTTTTGCGGTCATTGGATATATTATAAACCATGTAATTTTTATTTGGCTGTCTTATTTTACTAATTCGACGCTCTTGGTTTGGTCTAGATTTGGTACGTATGGACTTGAAACTGTTATTACGCAATAACAAATATTTTTGTTTAATTTTTTGCTCTTCTTTTTCCTTCTGTCGCCGACGTCTACGGGTAGCACCAGCACCACTAAAAAGCGTGCAAATACGATAGACATACATAGCTGCAAATAGATTTTATTCTTACAATAGACAAAAGTAGCAGCAGCAACAACACAGAGCTAAAAGTGGTAATAAAGCCAAACACGAAAGTCCAATAATTAACAACCAGTCAATATCTGCTTTTTTTGCTAAAGTAAAGATGAATACACTTGTGTCTGAAGTTTTTCATATCTTACGATTAGATGGTTTTGTTGAGGTGTTGGCAGTGGTAGTAGCAGAAACAGTTGTATTTGTGGAAGGGACATTCGTAAGGTTCGTGGTACTATCGCTACTCGCTGCTGCTGACGTTGTGTTTGTGGAGCTTAAAAAAGACAATATTTGGTAAAAACAGTCAGATTAGTATAATCCGGTATTAAATTAAATTTTCAGATGTCTCCTTGTTTTGACTGATACCATAGATAACTAACAAAATAAAACTTTACTATGTTTCTTTATGCGCTCGGACTTGAAATAATCAAGGGGAAAACTGCGGACTTTATAGACTTGAGTGGACTTTAAAGTCCTCTGAGATCTTTTGAAGTTCTCAAACTCCGCCAATCTGAGCGGATTTTGGGGACTTTAAAGTTCGGTAAAGTCTCTGTAAGTCCGATCAAGTCGTTCCAAGTCCGCTCAAGTCTAAAATCCGCAGTTACCCCCTTGAAAATAACCCATAAATTAACAAAACACTGTTCGAACTTTCAAAGACGTGTAAAGAAAATCTAATTCTTGTAGTTATCCCCTAGGACTTTTAGAGTTTTTTAGTAAAGTTCGTTATCATCTGCAGATTAAGTCAATCTTTCTCTGTATTCTTTTAAAGCTTAATACTATGTCTTGAATGTGATTCCTGACTTACGTCGTTGTATCTTCTGTGGTAGTTGTTGAAAGCCTAATAAAATGCAAGAAATATCAACCAAAGGAAAGCAAAAAAAGTTGCTTCCGCTGTTGCTTTAGCAAGTGGTACAGTCTTTTGATGTATGAGGCTGCATTGTACCAACAATGTTATATTCAGAGCATCAACAAAAGCACTACATACATAGTTGTGGTTGTGCTTGTGCTTGTGCTTGTGCTTGTGCTATTTATCACGTTAATCAAAAACTGGACTGGTACTGAGCTGAAAGCCGTTGTTGTTGAACTATTCCAAAAATCTTCAACCTATTAACAACGAACTGTGTAAAGGCAATGAGAAATCAAAGCAAGAGCTGTAAACATGTAAGGTGTAAAAAGGTGTATTTTCCGTTGTGAAAAAATATAGACAAAAGCCGGTTTTCAAAACCATGTACCTGTATGGCTGCACAGTACCAGTCATTCGCTGTTTGGTTTGTTATAACTAGTGTACAATTTTCGAATAAAATAGTTGAAGCTGGAATGGCAGCTGGATAACAAACGTCAGCACATTCAGTCGAGCCCGTACTCCATCGGCAACGTACATTATCGTTATCAACATCTGAAATTCCCACATAGATATATTGAGCCCCGATATTCGATATGAACACTGGTGGGCTAACAGTGGCTATTGGTGGTGTATTAATAAACCCGTCTGGTCTTAGTCTCAGATCAATTACGCAAGTTATATTCCATTGACCGCTACTATTTCCCGTGCCAACATCTGCAAATGATCGATAGTTTCCATTTCCATTTATTGGTGCTCCAAATGACACAGAAAAATAGTCGTTAGCTGTTAGATTCAATAGAGTTGAACGCTCAGAATGGGTTAACATCAATGTTGTATCACTCAAGCTTGTACAATAACCAGCAATCAATGGTTCAATATAACCAGCCGAAGCGGTTCCACAGTTCCATGTACATGTTAAATTACCCTTTGATTTTCCTTGGAGATTAATTAAAGCGCCGACAGTGGTACAATTGATTGTCGGGTAAGTCCATGTATAGGTTTGTGTTAAAATAATTTGTATTGTACTGCCAGTAGCAGTTCGGTTAACAGGAGCCCAAGTAATTGTTCCACCATCGAAATGAGTCGCACAGATAAATGAAATGTATAGTGACCAAGAGAGGACTTGTAGTAGCATATAATATGTTCAAAACTCTTTTGTCTTAGCGTTCAAACGTATATGCCCAAAATTCTGTCACATGAAAACAGAACAAGCAGAAAAGAACAAATTGAAGTTTTGGATTTTTTTCATGAATGGCTTGATCAAATTTCAAATAGAATAGTATCGACTGAAAATATATTTTAATTATAGAGTGAAACAGTAGTAACACAAAAAACTTATTAATTTTATTCAGTTTCGTCAAAAGAATATACTCAATCATTCTGCAGTCAAAAACACTTATGTCTCTACTCATGACTCAGTCATAAAGTACAACAACTATTAGTAAGTAAAAGTAATCGAAAACTTTAATTCACAGAAGCAATATAGATTCTTCCAAATAATGAAACTAATAATCCAAAATAATTAAAATTGTTTATAAAAAAAAGTAATAGACAGAGACACTCTATTGAACCCTTTTCTGTTTATGGTGATTGAAGCAGGTTTATTGTCCCGGCTAGTAATTTATCGTCAAAAAAAAAAAGGGACCATGACTGGTGAGCACTAATGTGTTGTATCTAATTCTTTCAAAGATTAAAGGGTCATTCTTCGTCGGGGTATTAATCGTCTAAAATGAGGCATTAAAAAAAAAGATCTACTAGATTCCTATGTTTTCTTGTCTTAGGTTTATATATTTTCTATTATTATTTTCTGTTTATCGGTATTTACTCTTTAATTACTTTGTTTTTTTCTTATACGACTGTTTTATACCCATTTTGTACTAAAATTAGTTTTTTCAGTTTTGAAAAATATTGTTTTTAGTCGAGAGATTTTTCTGAATCTACGGTGTTCTAAAAACTCATGTTTTATGCAAGCGTTTCAAAACGTTTGCTTCTTCAGCTTCTTTCCATTTTCACACTTGCGATTTCTATAACTCGCAAACCTCATGTCGCATGAAGTAGATGTCAGCAAATTTTTTCTTATCTCATGGTGATCTGTAACCGCTGAAAGTTTTAGGTCTGTACGAGTAGCCATTATCCAGATACCCAAAGAACTTAAGCGACGCACATTAAGAGACAATTTGTGAGCGTCTTAGATTGATAAAGCCCTGGAAAAAGATTTTATTTTCAATACGATTTTCAGATTCTTGATCCAAAGTTACCTGTAAATCCTAGTTTTTAGCCTTTGAAAACGTTTCCTTACTGAGAAAAAAATCTTTTTAAAAGAGTACGAACAAATTTTGTATTTCTTGTTATTTTAATCGTAGCAACATTAATATACATCCGATTTTCTTAGATTACACATCATTCACAAAAAACTCAAGAAAACTTGATATTGGTACCATCGGACACAAAAAGAAAAGTTAGTTTTTCTAGTAAAACAATTATTAGGACAAAAAATTCCATTGGACCTCAACAATTTTCAGTGCATCTTGTGGAGAATGAAATTCTCTACGAAGTGCACTATAGTACATTATAATACAATTTTTGAGACAGACTGAAAAATGCTCCAGAATGAGTACCATCAGAATTAGTACATTTATGAAAAATTGTTTTAAACATGATATTCATCCACATAAAGTCATGTTTCATCATCAACAGGTAAAAGCATGTTAAGAGCGGCGTTTACGAATAGATAGGATATTAACAGAAAATAAGTGGTAAATAAGTGTATTTACTCTCAATCGAAAAAAAAGAATGAACTCTGCTCTTTTTTCAATAATTTTTGATAGAAAGCAGCTAGAGAGCTCTGATTTTCGGCATTCGAAAGAGCAGACTTGGAAGCCTGATTCTGTATGCAAACATTTTATTTATTTTTAAGAAAAAGATTTAAAAAACTAGGGAAAACTAAGTTTTATGAAAATCAGTATGTCCAGGCTCTTTTCATACTACATAAAAGAATTCACGATTCACTCCTAAAATATTCAATGTACTATAGTGCATTTGATAGAGACTTTCATTTTTAGTGCTTCTTTTCCTTCAATATGTGTGGAACGATGACATGAGGCCAAATTTAATTTCTTCTGAATTTGTTTTTCGTTGTTTTTTGTTTACCAAAGGTAAGACCATTAAAAAAATGTACTTTTAGAAAGAAAAGGAGAAAGTAAAAAGAGAACCATAACTGACAACTTTTTATCCATGAGCAATAATAGTGAATAGTCTTCCTTTCAAAATGAAAGAAAAGATCTGCAAGAAATATTACGGCTAACCCTACAGAGATTCATCATAGAGAATTTGAGCTTGATCGACATGATGAATCAAATAATCAGTTATAGTATTGATTACTTCATAAGAAATTACTCAAACCAAAAGAAACAGTTTTTTCTTTCGATATAAGCTAAGTAAGGGTAATTAAACCACATTACTATTTTTCATGAGGCAATTATAACCACTCCATGCGGATCACACGAGATAAACAGAAAAATGCTTCCGTAGGTTTCCAGGGACCAACTTTCATATCAGTTACATGATACAGTGTGTTTAGAAGACCGTTATCTATAATTACACATGAAAATTGAAAGAGAAAAAAGATGTTTTTATCGTCTCGTGTAGAATGAAACAAAGGAATCTTAAGCAAGACAAGCACGCTAGTATAATAAAAAACATCGTCACAAGAATTTCTATTTTAGAAGTCTTTCTACGGATAACCCTACGCAAAGCATACTCCATAATCTACCCAGGCTTGGGTGTTGCATGATTCTCCCATTCATTGAGACATTGTATTCACTAACAAACTTTGCCTTAGTACCCGCGGTGATCTGCTCTTACTCTAAATAATTACTTTCTAACAAAACGATCGCTATTCTGCTTTAACAAACTTTTTTCATAAAATTCTTCGTTTTTAGTATATTTCACCATTAAATCGTGTTGACTATTGCGATAATTACTTTTTCCAATCAAATAGTATAAATCAGCAACTCCGTTGATATAATTTTAATATAGTTTTCTCTTGATAGAAAAGAGATAGAGACCTGCGGTTTCCAGTTTCAAAGACAAAACTGTTGGGACTATCAAAATATATGAAAGAATTATAAAAAATACCACCTGAAGGTGGCGAGTCTCATCAAAATGTTTTCCAAAACGATTCACTAAAGCAGTTTCGGATTTTGAATGCCAACAGGTAGGTTCGAACCTCCAGACATTACTCTCCAAAATTACACAAGTGGCAAGGTTCCATCTACCGTGGTTCAAGCGCATATATAAGGTTTTTCCGAGCACATACCTATCGGCTAAACTTCACCTTTGGGAACTTATAAAACACATGGAACATAGGTTTCTCGACCACGCTGAACCTCGTGACAATGTTTGTTTTTCGAGAATGCTTCACAAAACTAGTGAAAATCTATAATTGAGGAAATAGTCCATTTGTCACTATCTGTATTGAAAACTGAAAAATTCATAACTCAATCAAAATTGCCACTAATTTATAATATCAATATATAATCGATTTTATCTGCGCTGCACCACGAAGTTCAATAAACAGTTTCAACCACCAACAGAAAGTACTCCGGTTTTTGAAAGGTTTTTTAGAAAGCTTTCAGAATAAAACTTGAACTTTGTCTGTTTTAAACAGCGTATTTAAAAACAAAAAATATAGTCCGACACTGCTTCGCTTGACGTACCGATATTCCAGACCACTCTGCAATCTATTCTACTAATAACTGATTTGATTTGGAAGGAGCCAAAAAATACCGTCATATGTTGCAGATCTTGAATAAATTTTAGGCTGATTCTTATCTTTTCGATAAACACTGGAACTAACGCGCAAGAACCTGCCGTTATTGATCTGATGGTCAAGGAAAGAAAGTGCTTCCTTTCGTGTTTCCATCTCAAATTTATTTTGAATGGGTAATTATTGATTGCGATTATTTTGCAATGTATTTAATGCAAAGTGATGCTGCCTATCAAAAACGTCTAAGGTCGTAGCAACAGCATCCCTTGGCCGTTAGGTCATATAGTGGACGCTTCGCCTCAAAGAAGATCTGGTCTTTTTAAAGCAGCAAGTTTTAAGAGATCTACAGAGGCGTGTCGTCTTCATCTGTTTGTTAAATGCTTCAACCGCGCCAGCTAGTGGTTCAACTAAAGTAAAGCAGAGTATTGTCTACAAAGGACAGATGTTTGCCTTCGGAATATTCAGTAGAATTTGATCAGACTGGAGCTTCTAATTTAGTACAACCGGATTGAATGTAATCGCCTCGTGCAAGAAACTCGCTCGAAACTTCAAAGTATTTTTGATATGAGAACTCGTTAAACTAGTGAATGTTTGACTGAATTTTTACGCTTGTTTTTCTTTTGTGTCTTTTAGATAAACTCTATACAGATGTCAAGTAAAAGAAGCGAAGCAACAATCGTCGATGATTTTAGTAAAAAATCCAAAAATGACAGTGATTCATTTGGACACACCGATCAAACAGCCGCATCTACTTCTGCCACAAATCTTTCTCAAATCGACGTGACAAATTTATTCCACTTCAACAGCTTGCCGTACGATTATTATGCCAAAGGACGGGAGGGGGTGCATTTGAGCGAGAATCGGCCCACTTGTATTTTTCCACTTCCAATGACCGAATTTATTAGAAAAGTCACGCTTTTATTATTCTCTGCCATTCCCGAGCGAAAACTATCATCGTCTTGCTGTCCCATCTAACTAGTAATTTAATTTACTTCTCTTCGCTAAAACAATAGATTAGATTCATTTGATCATTGCTAGATAGACGATAAAAAACTGAATTGAAAGGCACCCAAATCATATCGTCGCTTATGACGCCTTTTGATTGGAATATTTGGGTAACTTTCATCGGCCTTTGAGTCATTCGTAACTCGAATGCAGTTGGGTGAAAAAACGTTATAGACAGCCTGCAAATATCATATTTTGCTCAGAATCCTTTACTCTATCAGGCTATATAGTTCGCAAAATTTTCTGACTAAAAACCAAAGACTTGGGAAAGCATAAAATGGCGATATACACTACATCTGATAGAAAAATCTTGGGGCTATTCAAAATAGTTTTCAGATTGGTTTCCGCTTTATTGAAAATCA